GAATCGAACTCTGCACACTGCCGCGCTGAGCCCTATCCTTTACTTAGCTTTTAAATAAACAGGTTTTAAGAACAAGCAACTTATGATTTAGGAGGAGTTTAAACCACATTATTTTGATAATAATGCATTTTTGAAAAGTGTATTGATGTGAAATGTGTGGTTAAAAAATAATGAAAACTTTTTGATATGCGAGTAATATTATTTTATTGAAAAATGTGTGATTAAAATGATGTCAAATCATTGTTTAAAAATGTATTTTTTTGAAATAATGTGACTCAAGCAGACCCTTATATTATAATATTATTTTATTTATAAATAATTTTAATTGTATTCCTAGATATCAAGGTCTAACTCAAATACTAGTATACTACTGAGCAATCCTTACCACATCAATGAAATAAACTCCAGTCTCAAAGGTGTTCAAATACCAACAGTCACGTCATTCCATTAGCTCTCATTGCTAAACGTGCTAATCCTACTTCGACGGAGAAAATTGACAGCAATTTAACATATGTTCTAGATAAATGTGGCCTAATAAGTTAGGTTACCATCTGAATATATTTAGTAGACGATCATTTATTTTCAACTTTTGCAACCATGACTAAATTAAGTAGCATATTTCTTGGAAAAGTAATAGCATCAATTTTTAACATTCAGAGTAATAAATATAGCTTCAATTTGTGAACAAATTCAAAACAAACGATAAACTATAAATGATACAACTTATATGTTCATCAACAACGAAATTCAATAATTTTGTTTTTGTCCAAGGCGTCAATATCCATCTCTCTGCAAATGAAGCTTTGACCTTTTGAAGCCCCCCGGGGCACATTCAAGTTGGCGGAACAATTATATTGGGAGGCTCTGGAACCAAGCGTGGGGAATTCGATTCTTGGAAGGCACAAATTGGAATGTAAGATTTATCTTGGAAGGCAAGTTGTTGTAAGGCAGTGAAGAGGCTTTCTTTGGGGCAGGAGTAAAAGCTGTGTGGGAACCTGGGAACCAAAGCCGTGTGGGAACCTGGGAACCAACAAGGGCACATCCCGCGATTTACCTCCCTGAGCTGTTGAGGGGCCGGAGGTTCAGGGACGAGCATATAATCTGGCACAAGCTGGAACACCTCGTTAAAAAAGAAAGTAGTCCCAGAAACACCTAGTTTGTATGAATTTTGTACTTTATGCAGAGAGGCACACCCATGCGTATATCAACTGATAATATACAATGGAAAGTACACACAGTCTTCTTCAATTCAATATTGGCTTCTTCTGGTCATACTCAGTGTTGTAATGCAGGTCAAGTCAAATCGGGTCGAATCGAGTCAGATCAAAATCGTTAGAACTTAAAGTGTGTTTGATTGACATGAAAAATATCACCTAAAAAAGAAAATATTTTCCATATTTTGTGGAAAATAAAAACCACCTCTACCTAAGAAAAATATTTTCCTTAAAAATAAGGAAAATTAGGCATATTTTCAAAAGTTGGAAAATATTTTTCATGAAAAAAAAATAGCAATCAAATATTTCAAATAAGAATTTAGATGGAAAACTGATATTTTTCATAAAAAATAAATGTAATCAAACACACATATAGTTTAATGGATTTTGATATTTACAAATTACACACCCTCACAACTGGGGCCGTGCCAATAAAAAAAAGGAGAAAAACGCGGTTCAAAGCTCATTTGGTACCTTTTGTCATTTGTAAACGGGGTAATAGAAGCAGAGAAAAACGAGAGAAAGAAAAGAAGGAGAAGAAGAAGAAGAAGAAGAATTTGAAAGAAAGAAAGAAAGGCTAAACACTAATTGAGCTACGGTTCTTCAATTTCTAGAGGTAAGAAAAAGATTTACTTATTAAAAAAAAAAAAAAAAAGATGTTTGATTTTAGGGTTTATGGACAATTGCTTATACTTGATTTATGATATATCAGAGTGAGATAAGGATTTGAGATTTTATTTGGGTATTTTTAAGTCATTTCCTTCCATTTTCGTGCAAAATTACCACATTGGTTCTACTTTTGAAATTATGCCCAGAAAGTGCTATTATTGTCAAAGTTTTAGTGACAGTGTTCAATATATTGCAATAGTTTGAAATTATAATGTTACTTTTGTCAATATTCTGATCTTCTTGGATTTTTAGGTATGAAAACTAGTAAGTGTCAAATGTTGGGGATTATGTGTTAAAATAACTCATGTAAAGGAGTTATATGTAATTAGAGACTTTACTTGGGATTACGAGGTCGGAGATTAAAGGCATCAAGTTCTTATTAGTTAATCATTATTCCTAATGATAGTAATAATGCTTGAGGCAACTCTATGAGAAGATATGATCTCTTGGACAAGGGGAGATTCTAAACTTGATACTTGAATGTGAGACGGTAATGACGATTGAAGTCGTATACCGTTTGACCTAGTTTGTAGTCTATAACCCGATGAGTGAAAATTTTATTTCAAAAAATAAGCATTTATCAATCGATATTAGTTCATAAATTTTATATGAAATGTTTATTTATTATAGTGCTGTAATAAAGTATGTAAGTTGCAAAAGTTAATTCTTTCCGATAATTGAGTTGACAATATGATTTTCAAAATAAAATGAATTTTTCAAAATAAGCAATTCCTTCTAGAGTTAATTTAGTTCAGTTAAATCATTTCATTGTTATATTATACCAATACTAGATATTTCAATGAATGTAAAGTTATTTTAAAACCACCCAAAAGTATCCTAGTCCTCATAGGTGCGAATATTTTTCCAGTCTAAGATCACATATGGTGATTTTACCCACTCTGCACTACTATGAACGTGTTTCCAAGGTGTAACATCAGATATTGGTGAAACTACTTCAGTTATAACTAAATGGATAGCCAGTATATGAGCTTTTTCATCTTCTGGTTTCTTATTTAGTGAGACGAAGCAATGGAGGAACAGATGATGGAGCATAAACAGAGCCCCGTCTCTCTTGATCAAAGCAGCCTCACGGACAATCTTCCTAGTATTGGCGATCACAATGGTGAGTACTGTTTCATTCTTCTTAATGGTTATTTGACAGAATGAAATATTATTAATTTAAGTTTTGTGTTAAAATTTGGCAGAAGTTACATTAGAATCAAGAGACTTCTCCCCTGCACACTTGTTGTTCAAAATTGAGTCATTCTCCTTGCTTTCAGAGAATGGTATAGACAAGATTGAATCAAGTGAATTTGAATCAGACGATAACTACAAATGGTATTTCTTGTTATCAACTTATCAATAACCATTTGTACGAACCCATTTGTTTTCCATAATTTTTCATGTAAATTTCTCTATTAGGAAGTTGATAATATATCCTAATGGGCGAAACATAGAGGACGGAGCCAATCATGTTTCTGCTTACTTGGCTGTAGAAAATAAAAGTAATCTGGATGCTGGCTGGGAATTTAATGCCGTCGTCAGCATCTTTCTGTTTAATCACAAACTTGACCAATATTTATTTAAGAAAGGTATTATCTACTTCTAAATAGAATAGAAGAGCATTTTCTATGAATTTAATATCAAGCAGCTTCCTTCTCGGTGCAGGTGAACGACGTTTTCATCTTATAAACCCTGAGTGGGGCTTTTCCAAATTCATTGTGAAGGAAACTTTGACAAATCCATGTAACGGATACCTTGTCGATGATACCTGTGTATTTGGAGCGGAGGTTTTTGTTGTCAAGAACAAAGGAATTAGAGAATGCTTGTCTTTCTTGAAAGCAACTGATTCCTGTAAGCATGAACTGAAGATTTCAAAATTCCCAGAATTGAAAAACGAATGGTATTCTGAAGAGTTCAGTGCTGGGGATCATAAATGGTATATCTCTATGTTATTTTCTTCTGCAATGATACATCTTTCCTTTACCAGACCTCTCAATTCTATTATCATAATTTTTTTTATTTTCAGGAAGGTTTGTGTGTATCCGAAAGGTATTGGAGCACAAAAGGGAAGTCATGTTTCGATTTTCTTGCATAAAGTAGGATTTTCTTCCAGTGAAAAGGTTAAGGCTGATTACTCCATAGGCATGAAGAAGAAGTATGGATATGTATATCGCAAATGTAAGATGACAACTTTCTTCTGTCACTGAACTTTATGTTACTAAGGTGATCGTGATATTGTTCATTCAATTTTTTTGCAGCCAATAATCACTGGTTTTCGGCTTCTAACAGCAGTTGGGGATGGCCAAGTTTCATTCCAATCGCTTTTATGAAACCATCAGGATTTTTAGTTGAAGATCACTGCATTATTGAAGTTGAAATTTCTATTCAAGCTATCTTACGTAGTATACCGTAAGATTAAATTTTCTGTAGTAACATAGGATTTAAAATGTAATGTATCAGTATATGTGTCTAGATTATTTATTAATGTTATATTTATTGCTTAATTAATATAATTATTCTCGTCGTGACTAATTATGTTTAAAACAGTGGAATATGTCTTGATGATACCCTAGACGATCTACTTGTCCATTAATTTAAGTTTAATATGTTTTTAATTTTAGCGAATTTAGATTTGATTGTACAATATTTTTATTTAATATATGTTTTTAACTTGTTTTGTTTTTAGATTTAGTCTAGACTTCAAGTTGAAAAATTTATTTCTTAAAAAGAATATTTTTGGGTTAATTAATTCAAAAATAAAAATTGGGCAACAGAATGAAAATTAATAAACTAATGGAGCCAATTTAAGACTCAAACAAATTACTAGGAATAAATAATGGGTCTTATTAGTTAATTAGCATAAAATATGCATAATTAGCTCATTAATCTAGAAATTTAAGATTCTTACCTATTTACTCATTTCTTTGCTTTAAAAAAAAAAAAAAAAAAAAAAGGTATCCTCATATCACCATAAATCACATCCAATAATTTGTCTTCTACAATTGAAGAATTGTTGATTTCCTGTCAACCTCCCTTTTTATGTGTACTGTTTTGTATGTATTGATATATGTATTTTATATGTATTCCTGTTAGATAAAAAATTAAAATTTAGATTTTAATTTAATTCAAAGTTAACAATTAATTTCAATTATATTTAATGGGGTCTACAACTTTTCAATTTCACATTTTCATTTACTTTTTTCAAATTTTACTAAAAACTCGGTTTTAATTCTTATCCTAGGTGGTTGAAAAGAAGAAAGAAAAATGTATTTCGAAAAAAAATAATCATTTTTTTAACCATATATTCTCCATCAATCTATTATTTTGAAATACATTTTTAAATAAAATGTGGCTAACAAGCTCATAAAAAGGTTGCGTGAGTATATGCCCCCCGTTTGGTAAAAACTAAAATTTTAATTTAAGTTAAAATAAATAATTTATTTTAATCACATATTTTATGAGATCTACATTTTTCTAATCATATATTTTATCAATTTTTTTAATATTTACTAAAAATCTAATTTTAATTTATACAAAAAAGAAGCTTATATATGAACTTGTATGAACATAAATGTATATATAAAAGGCATGTTTGCGCATGCATATATTGCATGTCTTTGTGTATATATCGCTTATTTATATGAAATTTGTGTCAGAATATGGATATATGGGAATTATAGAATGTTGACCACAGATTTAAAATAGACAGATTCTTCTCACCCACCGTAGACTTTCTCCTCTTATCTTCTCTATAATTGATGCTCAATAAGGAGTAAGAGAAGAAAAAATTATTTGGGAGGAAGATATTTGAACTTGCAAATCTTTCGTCTTCTAGGTGGGATCTATTTACAGATTTCTTTTGGAGTTTCGGTGATAATTAAATCTATTTTGGCAGATCATAAGTGGTGGTTATTTAATGGTGAATTTCTAATTCTATTATGTGTTCGCGCTTTATTCACCAACTTACGTGTGCTTCATTTCACTAGAAATTAAGTTAAGGTACAATATCGAATATGTTAAATGATCATCGGAGTATCCTCAGCTAGCTAATGGGAAAAAGTGGTTAAGCATCACGAAGCATCAAAATTTCTAAACATAGAGAAGATCGTGTAAGAATGATCTACTCAATACCAAGATTGAGAGCTATTCTTGAAAAAGGGTTAGAGAGACTGTGAATGTAATGCACCCTCGAGGGGCTTTGGAATTTAAAATTTCTCAAAGTAGGCTTGAGAAGTTAAGACAAGAAATGAAATCATTTCGTCATTTGGGGAAAAGTGGATAAGTTGATATGCGTGACATGGAGAAAAATATGAGCCATCAAGGAAAAAATTGAAACAATTTGTCATGAAAGATTTTTTCAAGTTTCAACACTTGATTTTTTGTATATTAATTATTTATCTCCAACCTACATAAATTAGTAAAGTTAATCCATAAATAAGCCTTTCCATCCATTTTTACCTTTAATTCAGTCATGTGAGCTGCACCGACCTTTTTCATAAATGCTAAAGCTGTCAAAAAGCTTGTTTGAGTGTTATGAATGATGGTTACATATACATCACTTTTTCTTTTTCTTTTTTAAATGTATCACATTTTTTTTTTTTAAATCCAGGTATCCCAACTTACACAAGACTAAATCCTGGACCTCCAAGACCCATGCCCCTAGAACCTTGAAGGGGGTAAATCGCGGGTTATGCCTCAACTGGATCACAGGTTCCCCCCATTAACGGTACACTTATGCGTACAAGAGACCCTCCTCCACAGTAATTGTTCCATACCAAATTTTTGGCCGCAGGTTCTCACCAGGAATCGAACTCTCCACCCTGTCGCTGGAAACAAACCAATGTTGATTGATTGTATCACATTTTAGTTGCACTAAAGGTTCTTAACCGTTTACGTTGTCATATTTTTGTCTTTTAACTTTTTTTAACACAATATTATTCTTAAAATTTCATTTATTAGCAAACTTAATCCTTATGAAGATTTTTGTTTTTAAATGAGGGATAAATATTCAATCTCAATTTTGTATTTGTTATTATTTTTAATTTTTCGCTTATTCAAAAATACAATAGCAAACTAGTCTTTTTTACTCAATAGCGATTTTTTGAATAGAAACTGTTATTGGGGGCAATATGTGATGATTAATGAAAAAATTTAAAAATAAGAATGCAATGAAAAAATTGAAGATATAAATGTGACAATGGGTTAATATTATATAACTTTCGTGCAATTAAAATAAGATGCACTTATAAAACAAAATGTGATTTTGAATATATTTAATCCGTTAAAAAGGTTAATATTCTTGTAAAATACTATTTGATCCTTATTTATTTAAAATAAAAAGTTTTCATGAATTGATTGAGACTTTCAAACATGGGCATACCGATTTGAATTTACCTTAAAACAAGAAATAGAAATAAATAAATAGCCCTCCAGGCATAGCCTAGTCGTGTAAAGGATATGAGTAATGTTATTCCAGGCCTTGCTGGCAGCCGCAGTGTGGGGGTTCGATTCCTGAAATATGGAATCGGACTTTTTATAGGCGCAGTGTATATAAAACTCTTGTTCCTTGACCTATTGGGACATATCGTATGATTTACCTCCTTCACAAAACTCTAAAAATGGAGCGATGAAAATTCTCAAAATTGGAGTTCAAGCTTTAAATAAATAAAATGGACAATGTTGTACGTACTATTATTAATAATTGTCATCTTATTCTAGGAAGACTTGACAATTGACATGCTCAAATTTATGAAACAAAAAAGTTAAAGCTGACAAAAGGCTATTCTTTCCCAGCCAATAGGATCGAACTTCACTTTGGAAATTATGCTATCTCGACATTATTGAAGTCAAAAGCTAGTGGATAAGATATTGTACGATTTTATTTACTTCGCTTTTAAGTAAGACTACATGGGTCTTATCGACCCCTCACCAGCGAGGATCGATTTTTAATTTTTTTTTCAGATTTTTTATGAAGTCAGGGCCCGCATGGAACCGACCCCATGTGAGGGGTTAATAAGATCCCTGTAAAACAAAGCCCTATACACGGGGCTTTGTTCTTTAAGTATAAAATAGACAACTCATTATTTACATAATTATATTATTTTACTTATAAGTAATTTTAATTCTACTCCTTGATCAAGGTCCAACTCATATACTACGGAACAATCCTTACCACATCAATGACATGAAATCAAGTCTCATTTGGAAGATAAAAAAATAAAATAAAAATAAATTAGAGTACTTTCTAAATTTAGCCATCTCATTGTTAATTATTTTATTATATAAAAGTTAGATTTACGCTAGTAGATAAAATTGGCTCCGAATCCGTGCTCTTAGATAATCACATCTCATATGAACGGGAGGAAGTGGGTGCATTTCGTATTCCAAAATTCAAGATATTTTTTTGGGCAGATTCATAATCCCCATTGTGGTTAATTAAAGCATCAAGCCATGCAACCTCATCAAATCCATCGAAAACTAGTCACAATTTCAAGCCAAAACAGTGAACTAGCGAACACTTTTCTTGCCGAACTTTTGGCGACACCCATGGTCGCGCATCACCATTGGCAGTTAGCCCTCATCTAGATGACTCTAAACATGGTCTAACATCAACTCAAAAAGCCTCCATTCGATCTGTTGTTATTCATAATTCTTTGACAATCACGACTTATTTTTTGCTGAACACATCTCCTTCAATGCATGCCTCACACAGCATCAAATCCCCAAATTGGCAATTATTCCACAACTGCTCTAATTTCTGGTTCAAAATTTGCCTTGAACGCTACTCATAGCGACTATGTTCTATCCAAAATCGATGTGTCCCAATTGCTTCAATCTATAAATTCATATGGGGAAATGCATAATCAATGCTAAACAAACATGGGCATGTAAACAATTGATCCAATCCAACCCTTAAAAATTCATGCGCAGCTTGCAAGAACATTGAGGCTATTCCATCCCAATTAATTGAAAGGACTATGTGAGATGATGGTAGTGGTTTGATGATGGTGGTGGCGATTTATGGTTCGTCTCGTGTGACATAGGTGGCTATGGTTGGCCGACGATGGTGGGGTTTGAATGAGAGAACTTTTTTATTTTTTGGTTATTTTATTTTTGGGGAAGAAGATAAGGTGGGTTGTAGTGTCGTAAAAAATAATATTTTAAAGATTTGGGATGGTAGATGCCACGTATAAAAAATTTGAATATAATTTGTAGAAAAAAAAAAGTTTGGTACTTAAATTGCAATTATTTCTTTCTAACTTTGGATTTTTTTTATTTTTTATTTTTTTTAACTATTTCTAACGGAAAATCTAACTACGCAAAATGTTTCAAATAGGAGGGTTTCTACGATTTTCAATAGATAAGGAGGTGTATCGCAATTGGAAACATTTCTAGGGGAATTTTCTGCTATTGATCCTTAATTTAAATTATAGACTACGAAAATTTGTCGGTTTGTTGAACCGTCTCCATATTTAGTTATAACATGTGACCATTTATATTTGGATTTGAATATATTGGAATATAGCCCCGTTCGACAACTATTAGTTTGGGAAAAGTTTGGATAATGAATTTTAGGAGAATGTGTGGTAAAAAATAGAGAAATTTTGGGTTTATGTGTAGAATATTTTATTGTGTGAATTTATGGTTGAAAATGAGTATGCAAAAAAAAAAAATTTGAAAATGATTATTATCAAACAGGGGCATAATTCCTAGTCAATCATAACACAAAGTCAACTAACTAATAACAATGAAATCGAATCAAACCAACTGAAATTGCAAGAACATATGAAATGTAACATATGGATTTGAATCTCTCACTTCAACTTCCAACTTCTCACACTAGGTGTAGACCTCGATTTTTTGCACTAGTAACATGGTCAACAAATCGCAACTTCACTCACGTCCATATAATCTCTTGCCTGCACATTTAGACTAATCGTTGCAACACATAGCCTTCTTCGGAGGTAGGTGAGGCAATCACATACACTCCGACAATTTAATTAGTCACTAATAAAAATGTACTTGGATGTACGACACACTTAAGACGTAAGCCACAAATATGTTCGAATACTAATGATCATGCCATTCCATTAGCTCTCGTTGCTAAATGTGCTAATCCTACGTGGACGATAAAAATTGATAGCAATTTAACATGTCTTCGAGGTAAACATCACCAATAAGTCAGGCTGTAAAATTTGAGAATGCCACCTGATAATATCTAATAAACGATCATTCATTTTCAAATTTTGCAATGACGACTAAATTAAGTAGTATATTCTTGAAAACATAAGAGCATCAAATCGTCGCCACTTTTTAACATTCAGAATAAAAAATATAGATTTAGTTTGTAAACAAATTCAAAACAAACAACAAACTATAAACGATAAAACGTACATGTTCATCAACCACGAAATTCAGTAATTTTGTTTCTGTACAAGATGTCAATCTCCATTTCTCCGCGAAAAACATTTATAGGTAAAAAGAATAATATAGAAAGCAAAATCATATTAATAATAACCTAAATTCCACTCAATATTTACAACATAACATTATCATTTTTGTGAATAATCTAATAATGCAAATTTCACTTGCAAGCCAATTTTACCACCTTCAGCCACCAACTTAGCTGCTGTAACCAACCAATGTCCTGGGGTGTCATATGGACCTCGTGCAACCTCAGTAGTATCTACGTATTTTAGTAGCTTCGTAGACCTAATGGGCACAGGTGGGCCATCGGGATACACACCGGAGTTCAAGGTCGCTGGAAGTTGCTTCGGGGCGTCCATTACTGCCCGTTGGGTGAATGTGAAAGTCGTGCTCAAATTCGTAAGGAAACTTGACTTGCGAGACGCTTCAGGTGCTGATGCCCACTCTGTCTTCCATATGGTGCAGTTAGGGAGGTGTGTATAAAGCAAGCGGAGATGAAGAACTTTCCTTGGCCATTTACCCTTGGTAACTAGCTGTGCACCAGTCACAATAAAAACACCAGCTGATTCTCCTACAACCCAGCTGGGATCGTGCTTTACTACGGATGAGCATACATTTGAATATCTCTTCCATCGGACTGGTTCTAAGTACTGTTCGCTAAAATCATAATCATCAGAACCTCGCCACTGTGGCCTGAACATATTTTCGTTGCCTGAGGTGAATGTCATTATGTTTGGAAGACTTGAAAGATGCTGAACATGAACTGCCAACTGGTTGCTTTTCTTTCCTTCCAAATACAAGCGGAGGCCAATAATGGGTTTTTGATCACTTGTAACCTAAAATAGAACCGAAATGGAAAAGTTTGATCAATGTGTGCAATCACTAGGTAGCTAAAGAGAACGAATTAAACAGCAATTCTCTACTTGTACAATAATCCATGTGAAAGTTTAGCGCAAGCAACAAAATAAGGCCACTTAAATTCATATCTTCTACTTATATAATAAGGCGATTTTAAAATTGCTTTTGTTGGGATTAGGATCTCTGAAAATTATGATTTGATGATCACATCAAGTCAAGCAAGAATAAAGTGAAGAAAACATGATGGAGAAAAATGAAGTCGTGTCTGATGAACGATGTAATCTACAAAATTCAGATGGAGCTTCCAATGGTTGGAATTTTGAATTGCACCCATATTCTATGAGAATAGGCTGGTGAGCAGAAGTTAAAAGCCATAAAAAGGAAGTGGTTCAAAATCCTACCAACCCATGTGGATGGTACATAAACAGTTCATATCATTTTCTTCATGGTGTTAATCTCTTAGTATTTTACCATCTCCAATCCAACATAATTGAATTCCACAGCAGAAAAGCAGCCAACTCGGAGTTGATGACAAAGAGAACAAAGTTGTCACAGAAGTCAAGCAACTATGTGCTCATATAATGACATGAAAAATTGATCCACCTTCCCTGTAACGAGGTCCTGCACACCCCCATCGCCCCCAAAAGAAAATGTGAAGCACTACTCGGAACATATTCCATTTCATTTGCTACTATTGTCATGCTAAGTCAGATATCAGTTCAGCTATATCAAAAATGCCAATGCAATTCCACAGTCAGGATTAGAAAATCATGCAATTTTCTATTGCTTTTGTGGTAGGTATACATTATGCACGTTTCTAGCTTGTACAATTTCAATCCGCAATCTACACTCTAAAGTAGACAAGATTGCCCCTCCTGCTCTTACTACCATTGTTTACTACTCCTTTCAGCACTAATATTTTGGCATTAACTTTTTCATGGTCAATTATTTTCCAAATTGAGTGTTGAAACACAAGATACACACTGAAAAAGGCATAGAAGAATCTACAAAATACTTCCAACAAAAGCATCAAAAAGTAATAAAATCTATAAGACAATGATTTTGGTTTCACACCGAAATAGTTAGCTCATCAAAGTGTATTAAATTAAGACTACGGAGCTATCCATATGTTATACAACAATGTTAACTTACTATTTGAAACTACAATCATGCGCCCCTCAACTAATACACCAATCAAGAAAACAAGATCCTGATCAAAATTTTCATTTCTGCATCTAATACCTGGGTGGAGCTGACATAAATCTTTGGACTGAAGAAACTGAACTGCAATGAAGGAACAGCAGCCTTCCTTCCTTGATGTCTAAGAGGCAACTCACAGAACAAAGGTGCCCACTGACGAGGAACTTGAAACTCCAAAAAATACTGTAGATCTTCTAAAGCTGGCTTGTCTGACATTAAAAACATAAATGCTAAATTTCAAAATGAAATTAAATGAGAAATGATAACTAATACAAGTACACTATGCAGCTGCTGCACGAAAATAATTAAAAAGGACAAGATGATGAACCCCAAGAAAACAAGGTATTAGTCATAATAATGGATCCAGAATCATACATCGGAGGTACAAGTTTATTGCATGACTAAGATAGCCACTCCCTGGAATCCCATTAAGCAGAGAAGTAATAGGTACAAACTTGAAGAGTACAGCTTCTGGATTAGCAGCCATCGTCTGAAGCCACCTGGAGTGGCTTTGTGCAAAGACATCACCTCCTCTTTTAGACCAAATAAGTGTAAGTCCCTATTCCATATTATATCATAAGTCTACTTTCGCAGGTTTCCTAAAAAATTCATGAAGAATGAGATATCTTACATCCTTGCTTGATGTTTCAGTAATGCTGGTAAATTGCATGGTATGTTCCCGTAACATACGATTAAATACTTCGGGAACCTGCATAATCAAAATAATTACATCAATTTTTGTCAAATTACATCTATCAATTTATTTTATTATTTTTTTTTTTTTTTACAGTCTAAAAAAGCAAAATAGATATGCATGCATGCTCGGACACAATCACACGTGCATCTATGAGTGTATACCTTTTTTTTGTTATCAATCACTTTCCTGTCCGGAATAGGACTGCTAGTATCAGAGAAAAGACAGTCTCCAAGATCCTCCAAATATCCCTTGAGTTCAGCTGGAGGAATTGAAGAAGTCGGTCTCTGTTTAACACAAAGTAAATCCTGGCCTCCAACAGCCATTCCCACAATAATGTGTGTTCCATAAGTTAGGATAAATCTGGCTAAGAAAATTGAATTAACATTCATACCAAATGGTCGCAGTAAAATCAATATTGAATATTGAAGGTTCATAGGCTGTAAGAAACTATGATGGTCACGCATAACTGAAGATAACATACACCTGGTTGCATTTAGTATCAAGAAGGCAATTATGACATACAAAAACAGCAAAAAAATGTTATATTATGACTATGCTACTGCGGGTATATGCATTAAGCCTTTATTCTTGTGTTTGAACAAGGCGAATCTTATGGCTACAAAAGAACATAGGACATCAAGAAGAGAAATTAATAAAAATAGCAACAAAAAAATATCCAAAATAAACATTTAAACAAGCCCAATTTGCAAACAAAGTTGAAGCTTGTAATGCATGGATATGGAGAAGCTAAAATGTCATCAATCTTATATTTTAAATTTTTAATTAGAATACCTAATATAACAGCATCCACTGCCTGTTCTACGAGCACATCATCCAGAACTTTTAAACTTTTAGAAAGTTCAGTACATTATTATAAACAAATTGCAAGTATCTTGCATTTACAAACTAGTAAAGACACCCTCTCCCACAACCCAAAAGAAAAGGTATTTCATTTAAGGGAACAGCCTTTAGTTTTATTTCCATTATTGCAGTAGATTTAGAAAATTTAGCAACATTATGTGCCAAAACTCACTGATTGTGTTACAAGATGTCTTTATCGCTTTCGATTAATGAGTGGTGTTTATACTAGGTATTTTATTTTATAATTTTCTCTTCAAATTTTAGACTCAAAGCTCTGAAGTTCATAATATAAATATTGTCAAGTTTGGAAGTTACCTAGACAATGATGCTGGATTCCAGTGAGAAGGAACAGCCTTCTTTACATGGTCATGAAGTACTAAAGTTGATGCAGTAAGGTGCAAATAGTAAAGTGAGATGAAATAACCATCAAAGGCTAGATACTTGGCATCAGAAGCATCATTCAACCAGGCTCCAGTTAAATCAAAAATAGCATTAAGGTATCCTGAAGGAATTTTTCCCTGTATTGATGATTTTTGATTAAGTAGTTCTGACATCTGCCATAAGAAATTAACATCAGATTAGTAATGAAGTTAAAACACTGCAGAATTTTACATGACAACTTGATGATTGAACCAAAACAACGTACCTAAAAGGTGAAAGTAGACCACCATTTTGGAGGTTTTCCTTTATTTCTTACCTTATTACATAGTATAGAGGTGCTACTACACTCAATGTTTAAAAAGGCTTAATTGGTACTAAGTCATTTTACCATGAGGATTACAACTTACCTTAACTCAAAAAAAAAAAAAAAAAATGTCAAAAAAATATTAAAATGCAATATAAGCTCATAATAAATTATAAACACTTTATAATATTCAAGATAGAATAATTTAAAGTGTACAAACAAACAAGAAAAATTTATATAAAGTAACAAAAATAAATTATTTATTTTAATTGGTTAGTAATGGACTACTCCCAACGTGGGCCTATGATCAGCACAATATTTTAGCCCTTATTTGGTAGGAATTAAATCTAGATTTCAATCTAAATAAAAGTCAACAATTAAATTTATCATATATTTCATGGGAACCACTACTTTTCTATCATACATCTTATCAACTTTTATCAAAATTTACTAAAAATCTGATTTTAATCCCAACAAAACAATATTAAAGGACAATGGACTATTCAATCAATTAGAACTTTCATGTTTTGTGGGTTGACTCCTAAAGCAAAGTAAATAAGTCTAAGAATTGAGGAACACAGAGACGGTGCTATGATGTGCCTACTTCACTCGCCTAAGGCATACGCTTACAAAAATTGCCTCACATTCAGTCCCTTTAGGAGTTTTGTGCTCGCCTCACTCTGGAGGCGGGCCTACACTAGGTTTTTTTAAACCGTGACTACACTAATAAACTTCCATCAATGAATTCAAGTCAAATGCAGAAGGTATGCTAAAATGCTACTGTTTGTTTTCACGAGTCAGCCAGTCAATTTTTCAAAAGCTTAAACAACTTAATTGATTCATAGGCAAGATTCATCATTTTTCTTGAGGAGATTCCCTTTTTGAGCAGTGTTCTTTTCATGTTCCCTCTAACAGACCTACCAGCATTTGAAGTTAAAATCTTAATCCTGAACCCTGAATTTGTTGCTATATTATCTAACTTCCAGAGAAATATTAAAACTTGAGATGCAATACGACTAGACATCCATGAATACTTTCTCTTGAAGGCGTGATCATTTCCATTTTTTTATTGTTTTTTAAGTATATGAAGGAAAAAGCAACAGAAAACATAAAATTATCAGCCATAATGTGATGACTTCATTAGCTCTACGTGGTTGGAAAATAACATTAGGCTTCACTTTCAATTGCCTTTATTACTCTCTAAGTTCTTTCTCCTCCATCCTTTACAGAGGACTAAGAAACACTTAGCACATTCAGGGTTACTTATCTAACACAGGACCCATTACGGGGTCACCACGTCTACCATGCTATCCCAGAGGCTCGAGCAGTCAGAGTATTTCTGCACTTCCTGACCATTATATTTTAAAAGATCAAGTTTTATGCAAATCTAGGAGGGGCAATAATTGAGTTTAAAGAGAAGAAGTATTTGTGGAAGGTATGCCGTAGGATCAACAACACACTTGAGATCAATTTTAACAACCATTTGAAACACCGACAAACAAACCATCATACGCCATTTCATGTTTTCACAACTTCTGTTACGCTCTATCCCAAATGCATTGACAAGCATCATAAACCAAAAGGTGTTTTAGCATTCATGTTATGCATTATCATTATATTTTTAGCTCCAAAAGTCATAATCAACATTATAGAACAATTATGATGTCTTTCCTTCAAGAACTAAACTACCAAAACTTAGAGATTTCTCGTGCTTCAAAAGTTGAATCTTGCTCCAACAGAAATAATTCAGCATCATCAATAGTCATATTATGCTCGAGCATTACATTTTTTGCTCTGAAACTCAAAATCAACCCTTTTATACATATGCATATAACAGTGCACAAGTACAATAATCATCATGTCTCCCCTTCATGAGAAACTAACATATAAAAATATAGAGATGTTTAACACACAGTACCTCGTGCTTAAAAGGTTGTACCTTGCTCTGGCCGAAAAAAGAGATAAACTATTAGTGTGCGTTTGATTAGCTTTATTTTCCAAGGAAAATGTCATTTTTCTATCCAAATTCTTACTTTAGGGGCGTTTGGTTGACAAATTTTTCTATGTATTTTCCAAATTTTGGGCAAGTGACCATATTTTCCTTAAAAGGAAAACATTTTTTTTTATTTTTAAAAAGGGTAGTTTTTATTTTCTCGGCAATTCACTTTGTAGTTTTTAAAAAAAATGGACAAGTATAATATTTTATAGGTTCAAAACGAAATCAATCAAACACTTTAACTAATAATTTCCATACAAAGAATTTCTAGACAAGTGCAAAAATTCAACTCCATCTTATAGCACTTCAAATTCATTAAAAGAAGTTGTGCTAAACATCTAACGAAGCATATATTTTAGCTCAAAAAAAAATCATAATCAACATTTTAAACAATACACGTACCCATAAATTCACAGAAAAATGCAATCCATGTTAATTAAACAAAAAAGAAAGGAAAATTAAAGTAGTACCTGATTAAATTGAAGGACATCGGACTTAAACCGAATGTGGT